ATAGCAGGGGGCGATTATTTCTTTTTTCACACCAAAAGGGGGCGATTGTTTGAGGGAGGCGATTATTTCTGATATTGTTCAGTGGAAGTCATACCCTAAATATTTTGTTCTATTTTCCCATTAAATCAAAAAAATAATCACATCAAAGAAACTGAACATGGGCTTTTTAGAGTTCCAAATTTGGTTCCTCTATTAATTTTCATTGTTTATATCCTCGGCGGCGTCACTGATCAGTTTTGCTGGTTCAGACCCCACTTCAGCCTCATCCTCCAGATTTACCATTATGGGTATCGATAGCGGGTTACCCATAGTGGTGGGAGGGGGGCGATTATTGAAGGGAGATGATTAATCGAGGAACAGGTATTATTCGAGGAAATATGGTAACTAAACGTGCACCCAGCAAGGGGTGGAGTCCAAAGGGAAGGGTGGGGCATGGAACCAGCAACATTGAGGCCCTCTTGGTGGTTGGGAGGGGGGAGGGGACGTTACTCGTAATTTCCTAATCTGCATTTCAAAAGCCCATCCTTTGACATATTGAATGACAGAATGAATGAATGACTTATTTATTGACACCCTTTGCAACTTACAGGTGAATTGCAGGTACAGGTCAATTACATAAACAATACATAATTAGGACACTAAACAGCAGCATATTTTACAAAATTTGTGAAACAATCAGACAGTATATATTAGATGGTAGGGTGGTGAATGATCTATTTGAACATGTACAGTTAGCTGAAGATGAGAGAACAATGCTACTTTGAAAACTATTAAAGGGAGATTGGGTTGTCAAGAGTATTGTAGCTCATTTTACAAAATTGACATAAGCGTCTTCACTACATTGCTTTAAGCGTGTGATCGCTGCCTTAGCCTGTGCATCTTCAGAATTATGAAGTAAAGGGATAGATACAAATGTAATGGAGAGGGTACACTTCTGTATTTTCTCCATGTCATTGACGAGAAAATTGGACAGATTAGCAAATCATTCAGTATATTCATATTTATATTGAGAAGGATGGTATATCACTGATGTTTTACTATTGCATTTGTGACTATCTTCATCATGTCTCAGTTTCAAATGATCTTTATGCCATTTGTCACCATTTCATCTGTCATATGTCAACAACAACAACAACAACAACAAAACTGTATTTCAAGAATTTAACTTAGGTAATTACACTGAGCCGCAGGTACCAACTGTAATCTAGGCAGGACAGACGAAAAACTTAGGGTTAACTACTTAAAAATAACGAAATGACAACTCAAGTTTGAGAGAAAATCAGTTAAAACTTTGAAGACTTAATTAACTATTTAGCCAGTCCAACTTTTTGTATACGTAATTCGGTCTGTAATCATACTAGTGATTAACAAAATCGGGCATGGACGAAGTGGAAGTTCAATTTGTTTAAACACAAGAAATTCCAAGATCTTTTTTGCTAGCAGGGAAAAAAAAGCCATTTAAGCGTGCGCATGATGGTGCATACTGTCCAATTACTTAGGCATGTTGCATACTGTCCTTTTAAACTGTCCTATTAAGGCTGAAATCAGGGCAGTGCACAATCTACCAAAAGGTTAATTCTCAGCTTATTTTCTTTAATCCATAGGAACTTGAGCATAAATCTCAAATTCCACCAGAGATAGAAAGCCCAGATGTGTTGACGTATGTTCCACCCTCACAGCCACTGGTAAGTTAGCAGCTTCCTTTTACTGCAAAGCCGCCAGGCTTTGCAGACTAATTCAGGTCATGTACTTGACCTGCCTGGGTTGCCTGTGCCAGAAGCCAGCCTCATTTGAGATCTTCGGATATAAATATGTTTGTATATATGTATATCACCTTTTTTGCCTCGATTTCATGGCCTTCGAAGCCAGGCCCTTTTGGTCGCAGCCAATCGATTCAGAATTACACTCCAAAGGGAAAAGTAAATTCTGTATCCTCTAGAACACTTGACTGTTGATAAAAGGGGCTGTGGAAAACTAAAGGCGGAGTTATCCTGTTTTGTGTAGAAAGCCACGTTTTCGCAGGCGAAGAGTATGAATGCAAGTGAAGGTAAAAAATTCTCGTGAATTGAGGCGATATGTTTTCCCAGAATATTCAAAGCAATTGCTGGAACTCTACGTTAAATATATTTGGTGTTTTGGCTAATTTGTATTCAACCTTGTATACAAGCTTAATCGATAAAAGCTTTTCTGGAACATGTGACAAGGTTTGTTCTCCCCTTGGTAGTAAAACGTTTTATACACAGCAGAAGCAAAGATTGAAAATGACTTGATATGCTTGCAAAGCGTAATGAACCAGTTAATATTGAACTCCATTGCAAATTCACTTGTTCTTTCACACCATTGCTCACGTGCTCGAAACCTTATTGTGGACAGGTTTGAGGCAAGTAATGTGCTGATTTATTCTCACGGATTTTCATACAAACAGTTCAGTGTATTGTTTTATTCTGGTATTTGTTAGAAGATTTGAAAATTATATTATTCTAATGACGCCTTAAACTGCTGTTTTTTTCTTAAATAAAAATGGAATCCAAGCTTTTGCCAATCAATGGCGTGATGATGATGATGATGATGATGATGCCATTGATTAGGGAAAGCTTTGATTCCATTTTTATTTTTTTTAGAATTAAAATTTTATTTGAATCATGCTCCTGAAGGACTACATATCCAGTCTACTCGTTATGAAAGATGAACAGTAGTTATAAGAGATCCTCATACTTCTGTAATACTTGTAATACTACTGATACATGTATCTTACACTTCTTTCTTTAGGATCAGTTCAGATTCTCCATAAGCGCTATAGAGGGTGAGTAAAATATATTTATGGTACACATACAAATACATAAGTTAACAGAATGTATATATAATTATAATACCTGAATAAATTCAACAAAAAGTATATACATATAAAGTTTCACTGATCCTAGGAGCCAGTGCTCAATATAATGCATAAAATATGCAGAGCAAAATACAAGTGCAAAGGATGAAAATATTATTTTAATCTTTTTAGAGTAGAGCTTTTAGTCTGGTGATTGCCTAGTGCGTGAAACTCCGAGTTACAACTTAATTTTCATCCTTTGCACTTGTATAATACCTGAATATGTAGTACAACAGTTTTATTTAGCCGATCCTTCCAATAAGCACTACCTTTCAAGTTTTTTGTTGTTTAATTCAGTGGAACCTCAATATACATGTAACAAACCTCTATAAATTGTAATGAAATCCTAGGTATGACGAACAATATTTTTCATCCCAAAATAACTCCAAAGAAAAGGTTCTTATGGGAGCTCGAGAAAATAAAGTTCAAATTTCACAGGAATTGTTAAAAAAAAACGGTAAAATTGTCTTGCATAAGATTTCGTTTTGTGAAATTTGAAGCTTTCAAAGTTTGTTTTCTTGGGCTCTCACAGGAACCTTTTGTTTGGAGTTATTTTTTATAACTTATTACATTTAGAAGATTCTGCCAACTTTGTAGTTATTTATCTAAGTTTACAAAATTTGTCTAAGCTTTAAAGAAATCTTTTGACAGATGATTTTTAAAAACTTTTAGTTGTTTGCCAAGTGTTCTAAACTTTATTCTCCAAAATTGATAAAACAGAACCTGATGACATTCCTGAAATAAATAATCCTTGATAAACGAGAGAAAAAATTGTGATTGGCATTGCAAAATAATGGTTTTGACACACTTTTAGTGCACGATGGTCAATTTTGTTGTGGTTTTTAAACAAACTAGAATTTGGTGAGGTTAAAATTTTCCTGATATTTCAGTCAAGTGTGCCAAATTTTTTTTGCCGCCTAGGGTGATTTAACACATACAGGCTAATCATTCTTGATAACCTTTGTCAGGGCACCTTTAAACAGAGATTCATGAAAATATGTATCACTGATATTATAGTAATTAACTTACAATAAAATTCCAGAATGCAGACAAGTCCAGTTATGTCTTGCTTCATTGCATACCTTCAGATATTCAGGAAGAGAAAATTTAAAAATGACTTTGGTTTACCAATTAATATGTGGGTAAAATATACTTTGAACAAAATGTGAACCCTTTTTCATTTTACTGGATATTTGCTCTATATAGGTTTTGTGCATGCATCTCAGTTTTGACAGTTTTTTTTAGTGAAAGTGAATTCCACGTTAAGCTTTGTTTAACATACATGTACAAAGATAACATAATTGACCAGCTTCCACGTTCTGTTTCATATAAGAAATCAACTGATAAGATTGGGGGTATCATGAAACACATGTTTAGTTGACATTTTCTGACACCAACTTGTTTCTGAATGTAGGCAGCCGTTGCTCCTTAAATGCAATATGCATTACCAAAAAACATTTTTTTTCTTTTCTCTTTTTTTCTTTTCTTTTGATTTTTCCTTTTTGGGCAGTTGTCACTTTCTACGGTTTTCATGTTTTTCTTTATTTGGTTTGTATTTTGTGAAGTTATTGAAATACAAGATATCAGCTCTGCCGAGGTTTTAGTTACTCACACAGTTGATAGGGTTAAAAAGTTTGCTTTCTCAGTTTGACCTCATGATCAGTCCCTGTAAATTGGTTATAATAACATATAGAGATTCAAAGCAGGCCATCTGTATAGGGACTGGTGTATTTGAAGGCAGCCTCACCAGTCCTTACAGGCTGATTTAGAAATTTGCCTACTTTGTCTTAACCTCAATGTCTTTGTCGCAAATACAATGTATGTACAGCTTTGTTCTTTTAATACAGTGGAACCTTGATTTATCATTATACTTCTCAGTATAATTAGTGATTGTATTTGACCCAGTAATAGTGAAATATATGGAAAAGAACATCGATATTATGAAACCTTGTTATAGCGAAAATATTTTGCCAGTCCCTTGGCCACTGGTTATATTGACATTTCACTGTATTAATGTCTTAACCCTTTAAGCCCCAATATCCACGTATAAATTCTCCATACTGACCTTCATTCATTTCCTTAAAAAAATAGTTGAGAGAGTTTGATAACAGATCAAAGCATTTTTCCTTTGGGGAACATTTTATTAACTCTGATAATGATTTTTCTTGGCAACATATGGATATTGTTGGGAGAAAATTGATGTTGGTCACTATCGGGACTCAAAGGGTTAAACTGCTGCCCACGTGAACTTAAGGATGCTCGTGATACCTGTTTCCTTCGGAATAAAGCCATTGAAGCTATTGGCTGCCTTCTAGCATGTCTCATGACTTTATAATGTGCATCATTTTGAATTATTATTATTCTATACTAATTAGTAGACAGTTCAGAAGCTTCGTGTACACTTTGCGGGTCACTATATTTTCTTCAGAAATGTCTGGAAAGGAAAGACTGGGCTGGATATTTGCTCAAGGGGAAGGGGTAGGAGAAGAGGGGTGCTACTGGAAAATGTGAGAGGGGGAGTATCACATGCATGCTAAAACCCATATTCCATATTGCCATATTCCAGACCAGAACCTGACTGTTCTGTAGAGCCATACCTACACCTACCAACACATACCTACACAGGGTTTTGGCTCCTGACCTACATTAATGGCTTATTTAAGAAAGCGCCCCCCCCCTCCCCGGTACATTTGACATTATAATCTGTGAAAAGCACATGTTATCTTATCTTTTAAATCAGAAAATAGGTAAAGAGTTTTGGAAAAAGTTAATTATCAAGACCTATTTGTCAGCAGAAATCATCATATACATGTAATATTCGTTTCAATTTTTTTTCTTTTTTGTCATGCCTGGATAAACGTTATTCATATAAATTGCATTATCGCCTATATCAACAACAGTAAAACAAGTTCCAAAATAATTCTCTTGTTTGATTGTGTGACGCGATAATCCTATTAAAGAATTTCACAGCATGAGGATTACATCACTGCAAATCCTGCTGGTGATGTTAAACATTACTTGAAATTTAATCTTTTAATTAACTATTGTTATCCTAGCGGCTGGGAAGCTGGCAGATGAAGTAAAAATATAACATAGTACATGCCATTAACAACGCAGTTTTGTTCTGAAACTGTCTCTCCAATTATTGTTTCTAGAGGATTGAAAATACATTTTCTAGGATCTTAAAAAGCAGATTATTGCAAACAGGAACGTGGAGATAATTCTGCATGCTCATTTTCAGACAGGATGTGATCTTTGTGCATTGTCAACTGATATTCTGAAATATTATCCCCGTTGTTGTTTATTTTGCTAAGCCATGCTTCTGATATGTTAAAGCATTCAATGGACTTGAACTGAGACCAAGATAGGCTTTTTCATGCTTAGGAAAACTGTTTAAAATTTCCTTTCATTTTCTGGTTCCATTTCAACAAGGTAGTTGTCCTCGATGTAGGTGTTAACAAACATCTTTCTTCTTGTTGATATCAGCCGTGATCTTAAAATGAAATTGCATGATGAAATACGTTTGCTTCTATAACACTCTGTTTGTAATTAATAAGTGTCACTGTGGAGTACTGATATGAAAATATCTGAATTTATGAACAGGAACTGGAGAGGTCGACCTTGATGCTTTATTAGAGGATCTATGTATTATGGAAAAAGACATGAATTCTGGCAGTGAAAAAGAGTCCGTACTTTCACCCAGCCCTGGAGGAAATTCACCCATCTCACCAACAGTGAAGGTACAGAACTTTAATCTAGAACGTACATAGACTTTTAGAAAGCATAAGTGACCTCTACGTTTGTGAAATGAAATTTAGAACAGTCAACACAGTGACGGAATATCTTTTCTATAAATATATTGTGATTTAGTTTTTACGTTCTAAACACTTCATTATAATAAGCTTACCATAATTGAACAAATCCTCTGGTCCCCCAGTGGTTGACCAAAATTGAAGAAAATCAATGTCTGATCAGCATTACAGTGCAGATGGCATTGGCTAAAAGTGTGTGAGATGGAATTTAGAACACAATGCCAGAATAGATGTTTATAAATTATTATACGTTTTACTTTCCTAACACTTCACTGTAAGCTTACAATAATTGAATCCGTCAGCTTTGTAAGAATTTTTAGTAAGATGATTCCGTAAATATTGATGGTGTTGTATTCTCAGAAAAAGTGTTCAAAAAAAAATGTTTTACAACTGTTTCCCGTTAGTCTGGTGCAAAGTAAATATCTTTATCATGAGCAGCAAAAACTGAAGGAAGAGATTCTTTCAATTCCAGCATGCAACGGTATTTACAAGAGTCATGTTTACTTAATAAGAGAAGAAAATAGTTTTGCCGATTTTCTATACATTTTTCAGTTTGATTTTTATATATAGAGGATATTACACGGTGGCGCAAAGATATGAATTTTATTTTCGAGTGGCAAAACAATATTTTACGAACGAGCGCAGCGAGTGAGTAAAATATTGTTTTTGCCACGAGAAAATAAAATTCATATCTTCAAGCCGCCGTGTAACGTTCTTTTCATTACAATGACAAAATATAAGGAAAGCTTTGAAAAATGTGTAAGTAAAATTCAAAAGACGCAAGATGCCTACAAATTTCGAAGGGAAATTACCGAAATTACGGTAAACTCACGTGTGAGATTATGGAAAATAAACCACTCGGGTCCCGGATGTATTTTTTATAAATTTTACGAGTGGTATATTTTCCAGTAAAACACTCGTGTCTATATAATGAATTTATTTATTTTTCGCAAAAATAATTCCAACATTTTCAGATTAATAATTATTGTGCCCAACAAGGATTTTATATACCCTCCATTACATCTGGTTTCTTATTTTGTTTATTTTCTTACTTTGAAAACAATAAAAATTAATTTATAAAATTAGGGGATGATCATTAACGAATTAGGGTCGCCAATGAAATATAACGAGTCAGGGAAAATGATTTGAAATCTGTTTAAGGGCTCTGCCCAACGTCTTGCGCCCTGTGTACCACATTATTGGTTACACAACATGTGAGAAAAAAAATATATTCTTACAACAAAAAAGCCGGGTCCGACTTATAAGAATAAAAAAACGGCTAAAATCCGACTTTTATAAGAACATAATAAGAATTTAATATCGAATACTGTAAAGGGTTTTAGAATATATTGGGGTATCAAGTATAGTTAGTGCAGGTTTTTGCGCCTTGTTGGCAAGTTTCGCCGTTCAGAGGATGGAATAAGTTGAAAACATAATTGTGTGGTATTTACAGTTTTTGAACACACAAAATCACATCCTTTTCAAAACCTCAGCCTGGGGTTTATTCTTAAAATATTCTTAAAATTTCGCAAATTTCAGCCTCGATATTCTTATAAAATATATTCTTATAGAAAAAAAAGAGTGTAGACCAACTCATTTTCTGCAGGTGTGCTAGTTTTAATTGTAAACGTTGTTGTCCACTTCTTTAATTAACGTCAACTGCCGCTAATAAGCCCTGGGCTTATACGTCTTCGTAAAAGGTTTTAGGAGGGCTTATAAACTGAGGGGCTTATATTCAAGGGGGCTTATCCCTTTAAGCCCCAATATCCACATACAAATTCTCCAAACTGATCTCCATACATTTCCTTGAAGAATTAGGTGAGAGAATTGGTAAAAGATCAAATATTTTTCTCTTTGTGATCATTTTGTTAATTCTCATAGACTTTTCTCATGATAGTCTATGGATATCGTTAGGAGAAAATTGATTTTGAGCACTATTGGGACTTAAAGGGTTATAACAGGACTAGAAAAAAGCGGTTCAAAACAAGCGACATACATGTATAGCATTGCTGATCAAAATACGTTTTGCGTGGGCTTATAACTGAGAGAGCTTATCTGTGGCAGTTTACAGTACTTGCAACTAGAACCACTTTTTTTTTTCAACACCGTCTGCTGCCCCTGTACCACTTATTACCTCATTTATTTAACGGTCATGTACAACTTTCAGAACTAACTGGAAGGGGTGGATCTTTCAAACCACACCCAAATCCAGAGCGGCTCAATCAAAGGGTCCAAAGAACAACGCAAAAAGCATGAAGCTTTGAACCAGAAGTAATTTGTATAGACTTCCAAAAAAGTCCTTCGTCGGATTTCATATGGCGGTCCATAATTTGTAGAGTAGTTCCAGTTCCACTTCGTACATGAACTTCCTTAGCAAAAATTAGTATCACATTTTTATTTTATCCTTATACTGACAGCATCTCCTAATCGAGCACTTTCCCTGCCAAGCAAGTGTTTCCGCACGAACTTTCGCGCACTAATTCGAGCGGAAACGCTTGTTTCACAGGCTATGGTCATGTACATGTATCATGCCAAGACCCATTATGTCTCTTGATCGTACACTATCCATTTGACCGTGCCTTGTGTCACACTCTACCCATATTACACAAAGCCTACCCCATTGTCACCCATTCAGTGTTGGATTACTACTAGTCTGCGAGCAGTCTCTCCTTTTCTTCAGTTTTAGCGAGGGGAGTGTACGCGCGGGAGCGTCAAGCGGCTAAGCCACAAGTCACTCGCGTGGTCATTTTCGCGTCTGGCGCGTTTTCCTCGGCGGACTAAGAAAAAAGAGAGACTGTTTAATTGCAGTATAGATTACTACCTGCACTGCTATGCTGGGCAGCAAATCTTGGAGTCTTTTCCTTCTGCATTCTGTTGTAAGGTGATAGTTATTATGTGGTATATACGAACATATATATTTCTTTTGGACCCTAGGTGTCAAAAGATGTTCTCACTCGACTGGAAAGTGTTCAAGAGGAAACACGAGAAATGACTCTAGTGAGTATCGCAGTTTATGCGGAGTTCATTGCCTGCGGAATAAGCACAGTGGATCCCACTCTACGGGCGCCTTCTTAATATGGACAGCCGTATATAAGGGACAGTTTCGTTTGTCCCAACCAAAGCTCATATCTTTTCTTGATTAATTTTAAAATATTTATAACTATAGATAATTATAGATATTTTTTCGTATAAATGTTCATCATAAACCTTTATAGTTGCCGGAAGTTCTAATATTTGAAGAACTTCATTTAAATTTTAGTTCATTGATTCCATCGCAGGAGGAACAGCAAGAGCGGATCAAGGCAGAAAAAATACGAATTGCGTTGGAAAAGCTCCGAGCTGCCAGGGTTAAAAAGTTGGTTGTTAAAGTGTATAACGATGATGATCCGACGTCTAAAACTGTAGCTATTGATCAAACTTGGACGGCCTGGGAAGTCTGCAAGAAGATGATGCGTAAAAATGATTCCGAGCCCGATCCCAATTGGGTTTTGATTGAAAGAATTCCTCAGCTCAGTATAGGTTGGTGCTTGTGATTGTAGAACCTCTCTGTTCCGCCGAGGCTCCGCTGAGATTCCAAGAAAAAACATTTTAACCCTTTCACTGCCAAATTTAGCCAAAAGCAAATTTCGACCAAATTTCCAAATGTCATTTTGTGAAATTTTGAAAAACAAATAGCACCATGTGTAAGTACAGGCAGAGAGGTTTCATTTGAATGGTCACTTTATGGGATTTGGTCCACAGACTCAAAAGTTACAGTCACCTTACAAAACTCCATCAAGTACTCTGGCCGTGAAAGGGTTAAAAAAAATACTAAGCGCGGACGAAAATGTTTGATCGTTTACCCGGGTCTAAAGAAAACAGGAATCATCAACAAACAGGCCACCGAGGGAGTAAAGCTACGGAAAACGAGCAACAAAACCGTGTAACTTGTTTTGTGCACTCACGTTTAAACCTGCCTGCCACAAATCAGGTTGTTGCGAGTTGCGCGAATACTCACCCTTGATTGCCTAAAATTTCACGGGAGCCGGGGGTTATGCCATAGACAGAATTTACGTCACTTGCTGCAAAACAAGTTTGCCTTGGGCCGGTAAAACGCGCAACATGGACAGGTTTTGTTGCAAATATTACAACTTCTTCCTACTCTCTGCAGCAACTTTCCGCAACCTGCACCAAGCTGATTTGTTGCCTGACAAGTTTGATTCGTGGGTGTAAAACACGCGAGAGGAAATCGCTATTCAATTCGTTTTGCAGCAATGTTGAAAAACGGGTTGCACGTTTTTGTTGCCTGTTTTCCCGTACCTTGACTTCCACGTTAATTTTATTGGTATTTTGATCCTTAGAACGTCTTCTGGAGGATCACGAGTCAGTAGTGGATGTTGTTTCCAGCTGGCCATGGGATTCACAAAACAAACTAATACTTAATAACAGAAGAGAAAAGTACGCCGTGTTCAGAAATCCACAGGTCTGTATTCTCATCAGGGGGGGAAAACGCCGGTTGTAAAAAAGTCCGCATAATTAGAACACCGCCTTTGTATTTATTGAACACGCTTAACCGTTTAAGCCCCAACATCAACATGCATCTTCTCCACACTGTTCTTCATACATTCCTTGTGGTACTGCTTGAGAGAATTTGTCCTTTCATGTTTGGTGATCATTTCATTAATTCTCATGATCTGTCTGTTTGATCAGACAGTGTTTCTTTGGGGGGAAATTGGCGGATGTGGGTCACTGTTGGTGGCTTAAAGGGTTAACCCGTGAAGCCTCCTGGGAGCAGAGCCTCCTTTTATTTTCTTGTCGATCGAGGAGGATATAAGGATGTTTTGCCCGAATCACGTCAAGCCTTTGAAATCGCCGCAGCCCATACTTCTGGACTAGTCAATATTGTTTCCTCTGGTTGGTTTTTCGAGCGCCAGCGCCTGTTTATTGATAGACCGATGGTCATAACTAGACCCACTATACCAAGCGCGCACAGCTATTAGGCCAGGGATCGAAACTATATCCAAGCAACTTGCAGCGCATGCTCAACAAAGATCTTGATTCATGCAGAGTCTTTCTCGAGTATGCCAAAGTCGACCGAGTTGAAGAAAGTCTCCTCTGGCAGGTTGCTGGTTAATGTTCGGCTGAAATTCATTTCCGTTAAACGAGCCTGCCTGGCTCATATAATCGGTCCAACATTTACATGTAGCCCTTTATTAATTTTGGTCATGCTGTTGTGGAAGCTTATGTCAATTCTTTGTTCCCTTGCAGAATTTTCTGTTGAGTAGTGATACATCACTTGGTGCAGCACAATTAGCAGAGAAAAGTAAAGACATCTTGCTACAGGTACATTGTAATTATTTTCCAGCCAAAATATTGGCTTGAGTGGGCTCAAAGCAAAAACGAGGCAGAGAGAGAGAAAATTTGTGCAAATTTCTTTGAAGAACAGTGCACTCAAAACCACGCACAGTACCTTTCGGGATTGTCGCGTACACTTTCTCCGACAACCTTTTCCGAAATAGCTGTATATAGTAAGGTTATCCTGGAAAAGTCAAAGGGACGTAGCCTCAGTTGTAAAGTTAAACTTTTGTTTTACATCTTGTATCTCTTTTCTTTGGTATAGGAGTTCTTTCAAAAAGATTCCACGAGGCTGCCTGAACTGGATGGGACATTATATCTTAAGGAAGGGAAAAAGTCGTGGAAAAAGCATTATTTTGTGCTGAGAGCTTCTGGCATCTATTACACACCTAAAGGAAAAACCAAGGTAATTGGCAAGAGCAAAGCGCACCCATGACGCTTACAGTGTCTTATAGAGTTTGCTAGAGGCTTTAACCCTTGAAACCCTAAGATCAAAATTTGAATTCTCATTTTTTGCCCCTATTCATTTCCTAGAGAAGTAGTGGGGAGAAGTTGTGTGATCATGTCCTTAATCCTCATGACGACTCTGTTTTACCAAGCATTGATATTACAAGGAGATAGTTGACGCTGATCCCTCTTAGGGCTTAAAGGGTTCGTGTAATAGACCTTTAGATTCTAAGACGAGGACGACTACGAGGACGAGATTTTCTCTATACTTGGTACTGCGCGCGCGTGAGACAGCGTCATTTTGGCGGGAAACGTGGTAGCCGTCGTCATTAGTAATTTTACTGCACGAGAATCAGTGAGAATGTCGCCGTGGCAGAAATAAGTTCTAATAAATTATGGTAGAAGTTTAATCATTTTGTGATAGGGAGATCGCTGAACCTCCTTCAAAATCATGTTGGTGTTCCAAACAAATGATGTGGGATTTGAACCTTTTTTTTGTATGTAAACGCTTTCTTTTGTTCCAAAAGAATTTGCGTATCTGCTGTCCAAACAAGGTTTGCGATTGGCTGGGAAAACAATAGGGATGGTGAAATAACAATGCCCCTATCCCTGAAAACAATAGGTAGTGAAGGTTATAGGGACCTATGAAATAAGAGGTTTAGATGGGTGCAGGTCAATCGGCCCATGTGAGTGTAAACGCCCTATTGTTATCAGGCACATTTTGGTAATGAAGTACTTCTCTTTCCTCTCTGTAGTCTTCACGAGATATTGTTTGTTTGATGAAGTTTGAACATGTATCCATTTACAATGGCATTGGATTCAAGAAGAAGCTTAAAGCTCCAACAGATAACTGCTTTGTCTTGAAGGTACATGATTCTTGTATACTGAGATGCACGACTGAAGTGATTTATCGCTTTCTACCGAAAGCACAACAAATTATTTATGTCTAGCATAAATTGAACAGTCTTCGACTTGTTATTCTATAAAACCCTTTAGTTAGTTTTATCTGTCGCGTTTTGCTATTCACTGAACTGCTGTTTGTGCATCAGTATTGTATGTAGTAGTAATCCATCTTTTTACATCTACTTTAACACTCAGCAGTATTTATAGCAGTAAGGTTACTAGGCTTACTGAAAAAAATGATATAAATAATTCAAATAAACGAAAACAAAACAAGTTTATAGAATCCCAGCTAGTGGGCGAAAGTTAAAGCATTCACAAATCAAGATCGAAATCGGTCGTCAGTAGCCTTTTCACTTGATATGAAATCTTCGCGCTCTTCTTTGAGATTGACAACTGTGTTAGCAACCTCGTTCGAATGTAAATGTCAGTATGAAGAGACCCATAATTTTTGGCGTATTTCTATACCTTCACCTATACTAGGAACGTCAACTTATCTGTTGGATTGATTCGCCAACTTTTTCTTGGACTTTTTTCTAAGTCCGAAGTGGTACTTAGCTTGGGAATGGAAACGCTACATACCTAGCAACGCTCTCTCTATTAATTAAGCTACTCGAGCCAACTGGAGAGCAGGCAATTGTGTGTTCGTAATATTAATACCCTATGGTGTACCCGGATTTTTCAGGTTCTTTTTCAACCGCTTAGGTTGCTTATTCAACTGCAAAGATCATTTCAACTTTCACAACCTCGTTTTCTCGATCTGGCCGCGGTTTTTCAAAAGATGGATAGTGATTTATCCGATGGATAGCGTTACCCACCTTTTGAACAACTGGGTCCTTAACTCTTTCGACCGCGATTGACCCTTACTCCTTACTCCTCTAGCCGTAGAAGATAAGAGCGCCTTTTATGTGGCTGTTTACACACAGCCAATTGGTACTTCAGATCTATTTTCTCTTCAAAGTCCGTTGAGCGCGCGTGTTAAAAAATAAACCACGGGGGATTTATTGCCCGCCAGCGCAAGGGGGTAGGGGTTGCGGAAGAAGACAATTTATTTTCCTTTATCGCGCTCCGCGCTCGCCGATGTCTTCCAAAAGAACGAAAAGAAAAATAAAGCAACGTCTGTGTACAGGCTAGGTTTATTTTGGATTTATGGTGTTTGGAATGAATCTGAAAAGAAAAAAGAGTACCCGTGGAGGTTTCATTTATAGACTGCAAAACAGTCCGTATTTTTGCGTATTCAAGTACGCGCGAGCAGCCAAACAAAAGGTCTGGAACGAGGCTGAAAACAGAGAGCGAGACTGCGGAGAGACACTAAAAATACTCTTCTCGGCTCACGCGTTTCGCGCGTAAGACTCTTACGCGACACTTTACCGATTACCCCGCGCTTTACCGATTTCTTTACTGATTTTTAGAAAGAAACCGACTGTTTTGCTGTCTATGTATCAAAATGTCTGTTTTTCTCTTCAGCATCCTCAGTTTCATGACCTTGACTCCAAGGCGGTGCGATGTTTTTGTGCAGAAGATGTGAATACAATGCAGCGCTGGGTAGTAGGCATTAGACTTGCCAAGGTAGGTAACTATGTAACCTGGTTACGCTTTGGTTACTTTCAAAATGAGTGGGCAAGACACATTTTTTACTTTTTACACTTTTTTTTCAATCTTACGATGTTAATATTGTTGTGTTATTTTACCATGTTTCTTCAGTTTGGGTATAAAATGTTGCTGGATTATACTGACACACAAGACGAGATGGACAAACTCGCCTTCTCATTGGACAGAGTCACTTTCACAAGGGCATCAAGTTTCAATGCAGGAGAAAATGTAGAATCCCCAACTAATAAGACACAGGTTGGTTTGACATCTCAAAAGCTATAAGCTGCGCTTACCAATTCTTCTTACCTTTTGAAGTCAGTTTGACTCTTTCCTCTCAAATGAAAAACATTGGGTCGTGATCACTTCATGTTGCATAGATCTGTATAAATGAGTTACCAGAAAAGTTTGCATTCAAAATGACAGCAAATGAACACGAGCAGAGCAAATCAGCGATGGACTTCATTTCGCAAAGAAATTTGGTTAGAAGACTGCCTCTACCTTCAATGTTTTATCCTTTCCCGGGGATTCTTCACACAGTTTTAAAAGCTATTCATTCGTTTAGAAACACCCTCCACGTAGACTTTTTTTATTTGATTCAAATGTTTTGCTGTTGAATTTTTGGCGTTACTCAAGTGCATGCGGTTACCAAACCATGATCATTCCATATAGTGATTGCGGCACGGTGGGGGAAATATTTTGAGAGTTTTGAATGGTTTTATTGTGAATGTGTTAGAAGGCCAAACGCGGAAAAGTCACTTCACACTAATTGTCTGAGATAGTACCGCCAAAGGTTTTAGCCAATCACAAAGAAGTACAGGCTACTGGAAGTCAAAAGTTCAAAACTTGTTCGGTCAAGATAGCTAATTCTGGCCTTTTTTTACGTTTTTTTGTCGACTTCGACTTCTTTCCGGGCCATAAAAATCCAGAAAAAGAACTTGACCAATAAATGCCCAATATCCAGCCGTCGAAACCTAAAAACCTTGGTCATTACATGTCTGTCTCATGTTAACCTCTTTGGCCACGCCCACTGACCTCTGTTCCCCGGTCATGGTGGCCATCCTGGATAGGTCAATCTGAAATGGTTTTACTCCTCATGATTGTAGGTAGAGCCGCCTAAAGACTATCAGTCGCTGAAGGCCAAATCTCAGTCTGAGAGAATCAAGGACTCTATTGGGTTATCGTCTGGACACCCCAGTGGTAAGTGAGGCTCCCCAATAGGGTTTTCGGGATGCGGGATTTCAAGGCCGGGATTCGGGATTTTAAAGCAAAATTGGGGCGAGATTCGGGATTGAAAGTATGCACGGGATACGGAATGCCTAAAATAACCATTGGCATTACGAGATTGAGGGAAGATTTGGTGCGGGATGACGGGATTGAAGCACCTTCTTGGGGACCCTCGTAAGTACCAAGGAAGGTCGCTTTATTATTTGTTATCATATCGCTTTAATTAGCGAGGATGTGTTGTAGGCCTCCAGTGACAATTGAAATAGAGGGAGGGGAGGGAGGGGACGTATAACGCAAAAGTAGTGAAGACGTTTAATTGAAATGGTCTTATAAGGAGTTCAGGAAATTCATTCATGACTTAGTTTGAACGACATAGGTAATTGTGAAAGTAGTGCCGAAGAGGTTTTATTCAAGTATAATTGTCACGCAATGTTTCATTTGAATGGTCACGCAATAGGGTTTCATCCACAGACTTAACTATAACTAAATTGCATAACATTAGAAATTACCATGTGAGAGTATTTCTGAAGAGGTTTTATTTGAATGTGACACCAAAGGATTTGATTGACAGACTAAAATTTAGACCTACATACTAAAAGAATTACAGTACCATGTTAAAGTACTGCTGAAGAGGTTTCATTTGAATGGTCACATAAGAAATTTCGCACACATACTTGAACATTAGAACCATATACAGCATTTGTGGAACCTTACAGACCTTACAGAAGTGTATACTGGTGAAGTCATCCCATTTATAAAGATAACGCCAAAAAGCTACCGATTTTAGCTTATATTCAGTAAAGGAACTGTAAATATTCCAAAACGTTTGGATTTTTTTTTTCTGTGAGTTTGTGAATGTGAAGGCACTTGTGTTCTTACAGGTACCATGAGCTTCTCCGTAAACAAAAGTAAAGTTCAAGCCAAGAAACCCTCCAAGAAAATTGGCAATCTGTTCTCTGATGCTTGGAAGAAAGGCACCGTGATCGAAAAAATGGTATGTTCCACTGATGTCAATTTATACATGTATGTTTTGACAGAGACAACCCAACATTGACACAAAAGAATATATTTTGGTGCGGATAATCCATTTTGCATTACATTACATCACCAAACAGAATCTCTAATAGTCCAGTTCCGCGTTCGCTATGACCGCTGAATTACAGAAGTGAAGACCCATTTTTTACAGGCTTAGCCTCCATCTGAAGTAATATATTCACAAATTCCACCGAGAAAAAGACCTGTTTATTACTCTGTCTATTGTGTATACAGCTGTTTCGAGAAAGGTTGTCGGAAAAAGTGCACGCAACAATCCCGAAAGGTATTGTGGGTGGTTTTGAGTTCACTATTCTTCAAAGATATTTAAAAGAATGACGAGAGAGGCCATGGACGTTTGTTTGCTAGTGCTAAAGGAAAGCAACAAAAACTAAGTTCGACAGCTACAGTGTCAGGAACAGTGTATTGATCATATCCCATATTACCTTTCGGGATTGTCGCGTGCACATTTTTCTCCGACAACCTTTCTCGAAATAGCTGTATTCAAATTTCAAACACTTACTTGCCGGAATTTCTGAATATTTTACTTTTTGTCGAGGCTAACCCTGTATAAAGGTGCCGTTAATGTTTGTACTCAGCGGTAATTTTTAATTCGAAACTGGACTCTTGCGGCAGGCGTATTGATGAAGATAAGCATTCGGGATAAACACTCCTGTGGTACAAAAACTTTAGACCTACAGATTTCGCCAGGCATTATAATTCTTAGCCAACAATATGATCGCTGACGTACGGTCAAACCCCTATTAAGCGACCCTCTGTTTAAGTGTTCACTCTCTATTACTGTTAAACTCCGAAAGCCGTGAACACTTCAAAAATTTCAGGAATGTTAATTGTGTACTGGCCAAAAATTCAGAACACGCACGCAAACTACAAATCCACAAACTAATTACTGCTGTTGTTTGCGGTTTAGTTATCTCGCGCCTCATTGACTAATTCCTCGCAACACAATAACATTCCATAAATATTTCTGGTGTTCACGGTTTTGTGAGTTTCACAGTAACAAGTCACCTGCCCAATTACCAATGATGTTTTATTTTTTTCTGTGTTGTACCAGAGTACGGCTGGACCACCCATTTCACCAGACCCGCCCTCAGTGCACAGCACAGGAGGTGACACGCCCAACACACTAGACAGCAGAACTTTCAACATTGAGAACATCGGTATGCAGACTGTAGATGAAGAAAAAGAGGACGACAGCCCGACCACGGAGCAGGTAGAACAGGTACAGTTTGAGTCGCAACCCACACTGGTGCTTGACCCACCCCCACCCCCTCGCAAGTCATTCTCCAAGAAGCAACAAGAGGAGCCAAGCCAACCGAATGATAATGTCAGCGAGGAACAAGAAAAGGAACGGAATGGTGAAAGGAGTAGCAGAAGTTCATCGAAACGATCCAGAAAGACCCGAGCGGAGTCACCCCCACCCCCACCACCCTCCCCTCCCACAGATCGTGCACAAAAACCTCCACCCTCTACTCCCACAGAACCTGCACAAAAAGCTCCACCCTCGCCTCCCAAAGAACCTGCACAACCCCCTCCGCCGCCGCCGCCTCCTCCACCCCCTCCTCCTCCCCCTCCGTTACCTTCTCATCACAAACCGAGTGGCAAAGACAATGCGGCGGTCGATCATGAACAAGATAGCAGCACTTCTCCGCAATCACCGGATCCTTCAAAAAGCTCTTCATTCACTCCCCCTCCCGTCCCTCTTAAATCCGCGACGCCCAGAACCTCATCTCAGCTGTCAGATTCAGCTGATGTATTCCCACGACCCACTTCACAAACGTCAGACCATGAAGTGTTTGTCGACTCACTCTCAGCACCTACGTCGCGGCTCTTGTCGACTTCTATGGAGGAGATGCCCCCGCCCCCTCCCTCAGGGGACTCTCAAGAGGATGCAGATGTCGAGCTTCCACCACCTCCCCCAGCGGTTTTACTTGAGGAAAAACAAAACGTTACCCTTGGCAATGGAAGAGACAGGAGTACCAGTGGAGGAAAAGCACCACCAGTGGTAAAACCAAAACCAGTCAGGCCACGAAATGGGAGCACAGGACTACCAGGTCAACCCAGAACTTCGTCCCTTTCCGGTAATACGTAAAAGAGACAGTTAATTCGTCTGAGCCGTCCTGCGTATTTATTTATTCTGATTGGGCTCAAATTAAGGCCCCCGTCCACACATATCTGATATTTTAAAGCATTTTTGTCCTGTTTACAAACGAATTCGCTTCCACAAATATCCTTTGCGAATTCTTCTTGTATATACACACTTTACCTTTTCTGTTTTAAAGAGGATGTTTTAATACAAAATGGTCTTGATTCGTCCGTAAATGTTTCCCCCTTCCTCTAAAACAAATGTTTAGAGAACTAAGTTGTTTCACGTGCTGGTGTTAGTTAGAGTAGCCTGTGTAGCAGGCGCCGGCCGGTTATTTTTTTGATGTTGTTCTTTCTTCGCCCTAAAAAACAAACCGGCGCCTCCTACACAGGTTAAAGTCAGAACCTCTGAGGTTTCACCTGTGGCCCTCTCAGTGTCGACACCGTTTAACGCGTCGATTTTGAAGACCGGCGCTCGGTCGTGAAAGAAGCCCCTGCTACTGATTAAGTCGTATTCTGATTTAGCAAGCTCAAAAAAGCCACCTGAGGTTATGGTCGAAAGGCCAATCCTTCAAAAAATCATTTTTCAGGAAAAGCGGATAAGTTTGGACGGAGCCTAAGTTTCTGGCACACGACCTAGTGTTAATGTACAATATTAGGGACTTAGCCAATACGACGACTACAACAGCAAACGGCACAGATCGTTAAGAGCAAATAATTGACAATTATTGGATGAGGTTTCTGTGATATCCGGGATAATCAAGGTCGAGGTAAGTGTTGTCAGCCGAGCCGAAGGCCGAGGCTGATAACACTTACCGAGACCTTGATTATTTAGGATATCACAAAAACGCAATCTAACAATTGTTTTATTATACATTGTTTTGAAGAAAATAACGACAAACACACCTTTGCAAGGAACCAGAATTGATATTGTTATTGGAAATCATGAATTGCGCGCGCAACCTACCGATAAGTCAGTTATCTGCTAGCAGATAACTAGCTAATCTGTAGGTTGCGCTGATTTCCAAAATTAGCTGTAGACT